ATATGGCATGTCATGTCATACCTACTGTGGTAAGTGATCTTCCAGCTTGCAAGGGGCCCAAGGATGGCTGGAAAATAAGTAACAATTTGGCAACACAATTAGCTGACCCAAAATTCGACCAGGCAGGTCCAGTGGAATTATTAATAGGTGCTGGTATATTTTTTGATATACTGACCCCTGAAAGAATTCCATTAAACGTTGGAAACATATCCTTACAAGGCACTAAACTTGGGTATGTCGTTACTGGTGAAATCGGTATGACTTGTCTTTTAGGAATTAGCAGGTCTCTGGAAGAAAACTGGGAGGCGATTCAACCGAAGGAAGAACAGCTATTTGGCCGCTATTCAAAATTAAACCTTCGATGTGCAGAGGAACAAGAAGTTGTTGATCACTTTATGAAGACATTTACCCGAAATTCTGATGGTCGATTTGTATTACGATTGCCCACAAATTCAAAGGTTGATGAGTTAGGAGATAGCCTGAATATGGCAACTTGTCGTTTCATGAACGTCGAGAGAAGGCTTCAACGTGACAATCAACTACGTGTGGAGTATATCAAATTTATGACCGAATACTTAGAAATGGGTCATATGGAAGAGATCAAGGACGATGTAACAACCATGCCAATATTTTATTTACCACATCATGCCGTTATAAAATCATCAAGTTTAACCACGAAGGTCAGAGTCGTGTTTGACGCGTCCGCAAAGGGATCAAATAGTATTGCATTGAATGATGTGCTTATGCGCGGACCAAGTATACAAGAAGATTTATTTTCTATTTTGAGTCGGTTCCGCAAACATCAAATTGTTATAACTGCTGATATTGAAAAGATGTTTAGACAGGTAGAAGTAGCCAAAGAAGATCGAGATCTACAACGGATAGTTTGGAGAAAGCATCCCAGCGAAGTTTTGCGTAAGTATCGATTGAACACAGTAACTTATGGCACCACTCCAGCTTCTTTCATGACAACAAAATGTTTAGACGAACTAGCAAGGGAAAATGAAGTACTATTCCCAAATGCATCCAAGACGATAAGACGAGATTTCTATATGGATGATATTATGACTGGTAGTGATTCAGAAGAAGAATGTTTAAAATTACAGCAAGATGTTACGAATATACTCAACTCAGCCAAACTTCCATTACGCAAATGGTGCTCGAACTCAGGATCAATATTAGAAAAAATTGAAAAAGTCAAAAACGACCCATTATTTGTATTGAATCTAGGAGACGACGAAACCATAAAGTCTTTAGGATTAAGTTGGAAACCATATGTAGATGAGTTCCGCTTTTATGTCGCCAGATCAATGGATGTGGACAAAATGACTAAAAGAACATTACTTTCAGATCTCAATAAAGTTTTTGACCCTCTCGGATTTCTCGCTCCAGTTCTAATCAAGGGAAAAATATTCCTTCAACAACTGTGGCAGCTTAAAATAGACTGGGATACGCCACTTAAAGACAACATTAAGCAAAGGTGGCAACAGTACTATAGTCAAATCGAAAATCTGAAAGAATTATCAATCCCTAGAAAGGCCAAACCTGGTGCTGGTGATATGTTTGAGCTACATGGCTTTTGCGATGCTTCAGTTGAGGCTTATGGTGCTTGCGTGTATGTGCGGTATCAGAATCAGGATGGTCAATGGCAGGCAAGTCTCCTATGTTCAAAAACAAGGGTAGCCCCTTTAAGAAGCGTCACTATTCCACGACTAGAATTAAACGGAGCTCTCTTACTCGCTCAATTGTCAAGCAAGGTAGCACAGTCCTGGGGAACAGATGTAAAGAATTTTAAACTTTGGTCTGACTCTATGGTGGTACTTGGCTGGTTAAATAGTCAAACTAGTAGACTTAAAACGTATGTTTCCAATAGGGTGGAGCAAATTTTGGAGATTACAGATGCATTTCAGTGGCATTATACCAACACTAACGATAATCAAGCAGACATAATATCCCGTGGAATTGACGCGCAGGAGCTGTCACAAAGCATGGTGTGGTGGAATGGACCATCTTATCTTTCCTTACCGGAAATTCAATGGCCAATACCAATAAACAAATTAACTCCATACGATGAACTTCCAGAACAACGGCCAATCAAGCTGGTGCTAGTCTCAATCGAGAAGTCAAAGGATATTATCAACGCTTATTCAACGTGGCGATCGCTTGTCCGTGCTGTTGCTTGGCTGTCACGGTTTTTTAATTATCTTAAAAATAAGAGGTCTACTCAATCACGAGGATATTTGACTCTAAAGGAGATAAAATTAGCTGAGGTTATATTGCTAAAAAGGGCTCAAAACGATGTTTTTAACAGTGAAGTAAAACTGTTATCCAACGGAAGAGATATTGAAAGAAACAGTACACTAAAAACACTTTGTCCATTTCTGAAAGATGGATTAATATTAGTCGGAGGTCGTCTACAGAATTCTAATTTGACAAGGGAACAAAAACATCCAGTAGTGCTACCATTTGATCATAAAGTTACCAGATTAATCTTTCAAGAGCATCATGTTAAAATGCTTCACTGTGGTCCGCAACTCCTTCTCTCAGAAATTCGTAATTTATACTGGCCATTAAAGGGTAGATTAGTAGCCCGCTCAACGATATTTCACTGTGTTCAATGCACCCGTTCAAAACCAAGATTTAATATCCCTTTAATGGCACCGCTGCCCCAACAAAGAGTACAGTGTTCACGACCATTTACCATCACTGGCGTAGATTTTGCTGGACCATTAACCATACGAAGTGGCGTTCGGGGAAGAGTAAACAGGAAGGCTTGGGTATCACTTTTCATATGTTTTTCTACTAAGGCTATACACATTGAAGTAGTAGAAGATTTAACAAGTAACTCATTTATTGCAACACTAAGGAGATTCATGGCTCGTAGGGGAAAACCAGTTGAAATATGGAGTGATAATGCGACAAACTTCGTAGGTGCCCAAAGAGAGTTAGCGAATTATCTACAAAATATTGAAGGCTGCTCAGTTGATGAAGGCATTACATGGCATTTTAATCCACCCTCGGCACCTCACTTTGGAGGACTGTGGGAGAGTGCAGTAAAAAGTGCCAAATATCACCTCACTCGTGTACTAAAGGATGCTAAACTCAAACTCATAGAGCTGCAAACACTATTGTGCCAAGTCGAAGCATGTCTCAATTCAAGACCCCTTACCCCCATGAGCAACGATCCGAATGACCTGCAAGCACTAACTCCAGCACATTTCTTGATAGGGAGACCTATGCTTAGATACCCGGAACCAGATTTATCACAAGAAGAACCAAATGGATTACGACGATGGAGGTTCGTGCAATTTCTCATGCAAGATTTTTGGCAAAGGTGGCATAAAGAGTATCTTCCACAGCTACAAACTAGAGGAAAATGGACATCAGGAGCAGCACCATTAAAAATAAATGATATTGTGATAGTAAAAGAAGATAACCTACCACCAGCAAAGTGGAAACTGGCACGTATTATAACTGTACACCCAGGAAGTGATGGAAGAATCCGCGTAGTCACCATCCGTTTAGCAAATGGTAATGAAATAAAGCGCCCTACTGTGAAACTATGTCGTCTGCCAGTTGAAGAAGAATCTGAAGGTCCTTGAAAATCTCCATTTTCAAGAAGGGGGAGAATGTTTGAGCCCAAAAGGCACGTACTATTATAAATTATAATACGTACAATTTAATAATATATATACATGTATACGTTGATAATGTATAATGGAATAGCTGGTCACACACACACACGCACACATTATTTGTTTATTTATTTTTGTTTAATTATTATTGTCGTGTGAGTTATATAACATATAATATTATGCAATTACGCCTTATCGTCCGACGTAGGCCGGCTGGAACGCAAAGGTTTAGCACGGCCGCCGTAAGTCCGATCAGTCGACATAAGATACCAGTACCGTACGTTATAAGGGCACCGGCGTGCGTCGAATGAGTTGAAAATCTCACACGTTTTTATATATTTAGTGTAGGGCGCGAATCGCCTTTTTGTTATATTCATTGGTGCTGGGCGCGAATCGCCCTTTGTTTTTATATTTGTGTGCGCTAATCGCCACATTTGTAATATTATTATTTATTATATTTTATTGGCGCTAATCGCCACATTTTTATTATTATATTTTATTGTGTGTCAAATTATTATATAGCTGTATAGGTAGCAGCTGGCCAGCCGAGCACCGACAATTTGTGAGTTTTTTCTAAATTATTATTTATTATACATTTATACATTATTGTATTATACTTGGCCGTATAATATTATTATATCCTTTATTGGTTGTGCCGAACCGGCAACTTATATTATATTTTTATACATTTTTACTTGTTGGGCCAAAAGGGCCATTTTTTTTATTATTATATTATATATTTTACCATAATTGCAATCTGCGTTACCATTGGTTGAGTTACCCATGTTCCATAGTTTTAAGTCTTACACACACTCAATATACACACTTATACATTTTATACATTTTACATAACAAGCATTACATAGCTCAACAGTATTTGCCC